AATTCACTTGGTATTGTTTGGCTTGTATCTTCCCATCATTCCTTACAAATAGCTTGTGAATTAAGGTAATATCGAGGCATACGCACAGTATGCACATATGCCAACAATATTTTCTCCTTTCTATATTTACTAACATCTCGTTAACTCAATATTATAGTACGTTAATGAACTAGAAATGAGTAGAGTGGAGTAATAAGATAAGTGTAATCATAAATAATGATTGAGTTGGTTAGTTAACTGAAGAATTTCTCATTCCACACCCATAACGTAATAATAATAATAATAATAATAATAATAATAAATGCGCACTCTACATCAATTCTTCTAGTTTTCAATCATTTTACATACAGAATAATAATTAGGAAAGGTGGAGCAGCATTGATCATGAATAATACAATAAGTTTGAATAGTAAAAATATACAAACACACTTCATTGTTTGGCGCTTATAACTATACGTGTATTAACTTTTTGAAGCATCTTCTTTTAAATATGTTGAACATTGTAAAAAAGTTTGTTCAGTTAAATGTTCAATCTGGTGAGACTATAATTTATGGACAACCTTTGAATGACTCTAAACTGACCCACCTAATAACTAGAACCAAATGAGGGTTATAAACCTGTGTAATGAATTAGAATTATGATTTATAGTTGATGGTTAAGGCTAGGATTTAGATTTAGGGTTTTCATCACAAACTAACATCAGCTATAATGTCAAAACTCTATTTATCCAAATGAATGAGTGAATTTCGCGTCAACATGCGAAACTTGTTAGCTTATAAATGATTGGTTCGTCCATAAATTATAGACTCGCCAATTATAATACCATTTCATCTACCACCTAGAAATTGGTATTCCAAATTCTTTTTTAATTATTTTTTATTGTCTTAAATTTCATACATTTAAATGAAATTAATGATTTTATATAGTTAATAATAAGTTAGAATTAATCAAATTTTATGGTATTATAAAGATTTGCTTAATGAAGAATTAATGGTAGCTTGTTTTATGTTTAGTCCTATTCACTCATTAACTTACATATTACACTGATTCACAAACTTTTTCAAGTACATTTACAAGTTTGACTATAAAGGTTAAGCGTTTGAGCGAGAGACTGATAGATCCTGAGTTCGAATCTCGCGAGGTGGGATCGTGAATGCTCACTGTTGAGAAGTGCCATACTAGGATGAAATGGTTGTCCAGTGCTCTCAGGTTTTCCATGGTGATCTAGCTTCAATTAACTCATGAATCCAATTATTAAATTATAATAAGAATATTTATTAAATTAAGAACTGATATAAATAATAAGTTGATAAATTCACAATAATGGACTATAAATAAACAAAGGATAAGAATGGGAAACATGTTATTTTTTTGTTTTTTGTTTATTTTCATAGGAATTAAACAAACTGGAAAACAAAATAGGTCTTATTTTAATTTTGAATGGCTTTTATAATAATAATAATAATAATAATAATAATAATAATAATAATAATAATAAAGTTTACTTTAGTCAATATCGTGACTTGTTTTTTCCGTTAAGTTGCCATTATGAAACGATTGACGAAAATGTTCAGGAATATACTACTAATGGGAATGAATAATAGATAACAATTACAAGCATTGGTTAGTAGTATGTTTGATTAGCTGATTTCAATCATGTAATGATAATAATCAACTATTTGTGATAGATTATTCTTGTAGAGGTTAGATTATCATTATTACCATTATCATTGTAATAATTTGATTTGAATTTATTGAATGGAATTTTACACTAATAATCTCTTCTTATCCACAAATTGTATCATCTCCAAAAATAAGAGGAAGTATAATAAGAGACATCCGTCTCATTCTTATATGGAACACCTTAATAGGGAAGTTCAACAATCCTATCGGAGATCGAACCCAGGACCTTCATATTTCTCTGAAAATGTTTAATCATTAGAACCATAGAGTCGACATGTAATGGTACCGTTCCGACATCGGTAAATTTGTTATATAGCTCAATGGTTATCCAATCCCATTGTTGACAATTGTTTCACTTCCGATATATCTAAACTCCTCATTAGGACGAATACTACCTACAAATTAAAGCGATTTCCACAAAACCCTTTCAAATATATCAACAGATACTTCATTTAATCAATAATTAATTTAGTTGATCTATTGTTATAGGAATTGTTGTCTCTTTGTTGTGATGTGCCAATGTACTTTGGTATAATATAAGAATTATTGTGAGATAAATTAATGGTGATATTTTCAGTAAAGAATGCAAGGTTTTCAGCTCACCTATTCTATTTTTTTGCCTAAATGTACTTTTATTCTACTTTCATTACGTGAAATACTTTGAGTGTTATTTTATTTATTTTATCACCACCACCACAACAACATCTTTCATTCACCTAAAGAAACGTGATTAGCGTTTATACTTGATTTTTCTTTCTATTGAGCATTTATTTGCTGAAACAAAGATTTTATAGTTAAATGATGATTATACTTACTTTGTAGGCAAATAATATTTTATTATTGAATAGTAGTATCATTGTTAACATTTTACTTACACGTGTAGTGACTGGCTTCAAGATATATATCCTGGAGTTCTAGTGAGAAGCAGTGGAGTTCAAGCGGGTCAGTTGTGAGGTAGTAACTCACTGATGACAATGGTGGATATGTTGCTCGATTTCGTGGATTAGTTGAAGTTAGACATTAACACCAGTGGATGCTGACCGGCTCAGTGGTCTAGTTGGTTAAGCGTCTGGCGCGAGACTGTTCGGTCCTGGGTTCGAATCCCACGAAGCGGGGTCGTGGATGCGCGCTGCTGAGGAGTCCCACAATAGGACGAAACGGCCATCCAGTGCTTCCAGGTTTTCCATGATGGTCTAACTTCAATTGACTTATGATCTCAACTGTTTAAACTCTTACTAAAATTTCCACAAAACTCCTTCTGATACAAATATTATTAGTCATTACTTAGTAAGTTTGTAAAACACAGTTATGGGATTATGAAATATAAACCATAAAATCACTTCTTATAATTTTATATCCGGTTGTTGGATATTAAATGCTTCTACCATTTACATGAATACCGCTTATTGGTCCCGAATGACTTTAAATTTGAGCAGGGAATAAGATAATTTCATTTGAAAAATAACATTATAACCAATAATAAATTTTATTATGTTTTCCTGACATTTTCTCATTTTATGAGATTACATTTATCAGTGCTTGTCTATAGGATTCAAAGTAATGGATTTTGTGTTAGTAATATAATACCATTATTCTATGGGATTGTAGTTATGACAAGATTTTACGTTTCTCAATGAGATATAGTACGTATAAGGTATTTGACTTTTTTATGTGAAATTGTTCAACACACGGAACAACATGTTTATCACTACTAAACTGTAAACCAAAAAGACAGCAAATCGAATATCACAATTCAATACAATTGAACTTAAGATTCATGATCAGAATAAATATGGGTCAGGTAGGGTGAGAGAAATAATAGTGCAATTACAATTTGATTAAATGTTTTTTTTCTAACCAAGCTAGAAAATGGTCCATGCAAAAAGATTATTCAAAAATTCACATTTTACTGTCGATATATGGAGGATACGTGCATCCTCTGTAAAGATAATACATCACAGCAAGATGTTCTTAGACAGCTTGATAAAGTACATCCAGCCATTAGTCTACATCTGAAGAAGAGAGTGATGGTAGAATAGCCTTTTTGGACGTGCTTTTAATTAAAAGATCTGATGGATCAATAAAAAGAAATTTAAACAGAAAAAATTTCTGGACAGGCAGTACACACATTTCCTTAGCTTTGTACCTCTAAAATACAAAAGAAACCTGGTCCAAACTCTTGGTTACTGAATACACACTATATGTTCTACGGATATAGTTGAAGAAGAACTAAACACTCTAAGAACGGATACCATAGAAAGTTTTTAATTAAATATATGATAACGAAGAGGAGAATAGGCGAAATACAAACAGTGAATAAGAAACCCCTGTTAATGTGCCTACAATTCAGAGGGGATGCGGCTAGCGAAATATTAACTCAGAGATTACGCATAATAATCCAAAAATCTTTCAACGCCGGAAAAACTACGATTAGTGTTTACTACTCACCCAATGGTGACACTGAGGATATAAGATGAATTACCTAGAATGATCACCTAATTTTGTATTTCTCATTTCGACTGCCTCTGTGGAATAAGTTATATTGGTCGAAGTTCTAGGAATTTACAGTTTCATGCTCACGAACACCTCCCAGTATGGCAGTGAACAGCTCGATACTGGCCCATTTAGTGCAAACTGGTCATAGTGCCAGTACAAACCAATGCTTTTCATTTATTTATCGGGTCAGTAATTGTTTACCAAAGCTTGTCAGACTTGAAGTCCTTCAAACTGCTGAAGTAGTAGCCATCTGGATTAAGAAACCGGAGCTTTGTGTACAAAAGAAAAATCTTCAACCGCTTCTCCTCCCCTGGTCATCATCAAAGCCAATTAATCAATAGTAATCTTAGCTATTGAATGACCTAATTTGACTATTGTACTTACGACCTTTCATAGTCTAATGTAATTGTCTCTGTTATCTTTATTCACAAATCTTTGTATTATTATTACTATTGGTTAAACATCATTATTAATCTCCCCAATACATGATTCATTCAATTCGCATTCATCCCAGCTTATTATGTCTTACTAATATTTTTTTACACAATATAATCTTTCACTAAACATTTGACCGAATTGTAATTGCACTGTTATTTCTCTCACCCTATCTGATCCATATTTACTCTGATCATGGTTCGTAAATTTGCACTTAACATATAAGTTGATTGAAGTTAATATTCCATATGAGTCATATCAGCATTAACAATGGGATTTTTCTTATTCAGATTTCTATATTTATTTGTGATTTAAATCTACGTAACTATGACTAACAATACTTATCATGTCTCTTTTTCTCTATTCTCTCTTATTTTTATTACAGCCACCACAATCTCGACATGTAAGTCATTTTATATTTTAATCATTTTTATTGTATTCAAAAAAGAAATGTCTTTATGATATTCCCACGTTGTATTCATCACACAGATTGATCTCAGTTGAAGTATCATTGGAAATTAGGAGGCAATGGACGATTGTTTCGTCCTAGTATGAGACTCCTAATCAGTGAACTCTAACGATCCCTTCAGTGATTGAATCTCAGACCTGATACTTTAACTGAGATTAATCTATACCTAATATAGCCTAAAAATTCAACCAGTCTTCACAAAACTTCTCCATTTGCATTTTATCACCGTTTAAATGTAGTCTTTTGTTTACCTTCTAAAATGGTAAATTGATTCAGAGTTTTATATTCGTAAAATGTCCAAGGCTTGACAATACTACATGGTTGTCTGCTGAAGCCTTGGTAGCCGAAGCAGATGTGAGCTTGTGATCTTTTTGCTGAAGGCTAGTTGAAGCGTATAATTGAAGTTATTTGATGAATACACTCATTGTTTCTACAAGTACTCTAGTTCTTTAGTGCTGACAGAATTCAGTCGATCAATTTGCAATCTATTCTACCGGTCTGAGTGACTTGGCGTCGCGTGTACTATTTTTAGATGTTAGATGGAGGTATTTGAACAGAAACTCTTCTTGGTTCTGGTTTCTTGCTGGTTAGCACTCGTTGGTAAGGGATACCTGCAATCTTGAAGGATGTAATACTTCCTCTGGTGCGCGATTTCTAGTCACTCAGACTAGTAACCATGCTACTAAATGTTCGATTGAATTCGATCGACGCTGAAGGACTAGACAAATAAGTACATCGGTCAATACTCAGTGATCAAGCAATGGTAACTATTTCACTCCTATATTGGGTCATTTGCGGCCTGAATAGCTCAGGGATAGGATTTTAGATAGTGAAGCTGAATGGTGCGGATTCAAGTTCCCAAGGATCATCAGTTCCATGAAGATTGCAAGCATCCCTTGTCGATGAGTTCCATCTAGCACAAAACCAGAGTTTCCTGCTAACTACCTCTGAAAACCTAAGATTAAGTGTTACCATAGTTTCACGGTCAAGTTTAAAGTAGTCAGTTCAGAATGAAGCTGGTCGACTCAATATTAATGGTGGAGTAGGTCAATTATTAATTTAGCCATAATACAAGATTAAAAAACACACATGTTTCGTAACATACCGCGTATAGTTTATGATTTGTTTTAAAATACTGATACTACAATTTAGCTCAATTAATATCAAGTTTTCGTCTACCGACTTTTAACTTCATCATTGTAAAAAGTTAACTGACAAAGTCTGTTAATGTTTGCACACCGATTGCAATTACAAATTAGAACATGTGTTTTTTGGATTATAATGACAACTAATAGCAAGTATTATTCTTTTTAACAAAGTATTAAGCAGATTTGCCGGTATTTTAAATATTGATCTGAAAGTATGTTATCAGTACAGAGATTTGTGAAGATTGTGGTATTTTCACAGTTGTAATCACAAGTCGATCTAAGCTAGACCACTATTGAAAACCTACAAACACTGTATGGCTGTTTCATCGTAGTATGGGACTCCTCAGAAGTGCGCATCCATGGTCCCGCACACGGTACTTAAGCCCAGGACTTTCGGTATCGCGCACGAACATTTAACTTCTAGATCACTGGTGATCTAGCTTTGATCGACTCGTGATTTTAACTATGAAAATATATTTCAATGTTATCATCAATCAGATTTCGAACCAACTTAAACTTTGTGATTTTATCATCATCCATATATCTTGTCAGTCTGAGTTATTTTTGCATAATAATACTATTACGACTTGATATCGGGATTTAGTTTGGGCCTACAGTAATTTTCTAATTACAAACGGCTGAGTTTTCCTTCGATACGAATAGGAAATTATGCGGACTCAATGGTATATGGTACTGTCATGTACAACTCTTCAACCATTATTACGGAAAAGGTTTGATATTTTAACGACCCCAAGTAGTTGAAGTTGAGTTGGGACAACTCTGTATACAGTAACATACAAAATGACCTTGGAACTCATCAGTGGCAACAACTGATCAGAAGGTAGCAAAAGTCATTGAGAATCAATTCAAATGAGAAATAATAAAATGAGTTGGCTAGTTAACTTAATTCTGATCAAGTCAAATGAGATTGATTAAAGTAATCGTCGATACAAACATTTAAATAAGGTAACAATTTCATATTACAGAGACATATTTAGTCTTAGTTGTTTTCCGTAACACATTCTATGCAAACAAGGGTAATACTGAAGAAACACTGTGCCAACATATGTCGATCATCAACAGTTGTGAAGAGACAGGAACTTCATTATGGTGTACATATATGCACACTATATCCATTGAAACTGTAGATTTGCACACATTACATTTGGTGTTTTAATTCATTTTAAAAATCGGATTATTCAAATGATTAGCTTTGTACTATTTCACTTCTCTAAAAAAATAATACTCAAGTGTTGTATGAGCTGAAACTTTTTCTATATCTGTGTAAATTGATATGATCTACATGTATCCATCTCTTGTTGTCTTTCATTCTCTTATATTTCAATTTTCCAAATGTTTCTAACATCATATTGTAATATAACACATATATGGGTATCTGAGCCCATTAATACTGCATGGTGGTGGGTATCAAAATATTGAAAGATTACACTAAATTGTTTGTTTATAATTCTGTCTCGTTACAATTATGTTATAAAACACACACACAGACAGACATAAAGAATGTGCATTGACTATTTTAGTGTTTACATAGAAATCAACACTTATGGTGATGAAAAAAAAATTGAAATCAGTTGTGTTTGTGTTTTAAATAGATAAATGAGTTCATGCATGTGCATATGTTGCATAGAGGTTTTGATACTACTATTGTTACATATCGACAGAATATAATAATGAGTCATTCTCTAATGGTAACTTTGAAATTACTTTAATACAGAGTTGAGTTGTTGATAATCAACTTTGTGTTAAGTTACATGATAAGTTGTTTTTGTTTCTTTCTAATTTAAGTAGTAAATTAACTTCAGTTTCAAATTAAAATGTACATTTGTTAAGTTTTAATTGTCTAGAAAGAAAAAAAAAGACATTTTTGTTTAGATATCTGATGAAATGTAATTCTAATTAGAATATTGTTTAATCCGAATAAGTTTCAAGAATATTCATCCATCACAGTTAGATTTCTAAGTGGAATACATGTAAACTTTCTTATTTTCTGTAGATATAACCTGTAACTACTGGTTTATGAAATCTCAAGTTTCTATCAATAAAAGTTATGACACGGCGAGACTATAATTTATGGACGAACCAATCACGTGTAAGATAACAGGTCTCGGATTTTGGCACAAAATTCTCTCGTCTATTTGGATAAATAGAGTTTTGGCATTATAGTTAATGTCAGTTCGTGATGAAAAACCTAAATATAATTTCTAACCTTAACCATCAATTGTAAATCATAATTCTAATACCTTAAACAGGTTTATAACCCTCATTTGGTCCTAGTTATTAGGTGGGCACTCTTAAGATCAATCTAGCGTCACTCAAAGATCGTTCATAAATTATAGTCTTACCTCTATCTTATAGTAAGATTATGAGCATACATTGTTGAAGAATTTTATACTAGGACGAAACAACTACCAGTTGATCTTTAATTTTCAATAATATCTTCACTGAGATTACTCTATATTAAATACAACTTACTATTAATAGTATTGTCAGTATCTTTTGAAATTGTGGCCATGTTCGACAAAATTACTTTATTTCTGTATGTTTTATATGCTGATAATTAGCACATTTCAGCACATAACTGAAAGTCCAAAGTAGTTCTGTTGCACTAACTGTTAGAAGAAACATTTTCAGAGAACGTTATCCATTTGGTGATGAAATGATACTCTTTTTTAAAAAAAAAGTCAACAATGAGTCTTTTCTATTATTTTATCATCCTAACATTATCATTAGTGGTGTTGTTGTCATTATTTTTATTATTGTCATTGGCGTAGTCGTTGAATCTCTTCTTTTTTTTTAAAAAAAGTAACGACAACATCTACTGCTCATATTACCTACTGATGTTCTTTTTTTCTCTCATTTTGTTTGTAATGATGATTATGAGTGTGTCAGTCTTCAATTTGACGTCATTTACATTATAAATAAGGGACGATTGCCTATTTATTTTTACGAAATTTCCAGAAAAAGTTAACAATTAATTCTTTCTTTTTCTGTATTGAATAAGGCAATTTCATTTGATTGAGATCATGAACCGATTGATGTTAGACCACCACTGAAAACCCAGAAGCACTGGACGGTCGTTTCGTCCTATTTTGGGACTCCTCAGCAGTGCGCATCCAAGATCCTTCTCGCGGCCGTCCAGTGCTTCCAGGTTTTCAATAGTGGTCTAACACCAATCGGTTCATGATCTCAATCAAAAACTTAACAATCTCCACAACCACTATACTGATAATTTCATTTGAATGTGTTCGCCAATCAAAAAAGTATTTTAAGACTGTAACTATTTGAAGTAAATGTATTTTTATACGTATATTTTCGTATTAATACCATTCAAATATATATGAATATTTAAAGTGACATAGAGTAACAATTAGATCGCAAAATTTAATCGTTTACATCACGGACTGATTTTAGCCAATACATCAAGGGAGCATAATTAGATAGTTGTTTCATTCTAGTGTTGTACTTCTAAGGAGTGAGCAGCGATTCACAGTTCAGCCATGTCAGGAAGGGAAGCCTAGTGAGACAGTTACCACTGATATATTAATATCTGTGAATTGGTTAGAGTTAAAATTGTGAACGTTTAGAAAAAACACGCAAGCCGCGAAACCTACAGTGATTTCATACTCGGTTTTTGTCAGGATCGTTAGTGGATAATGATTGGAAGTTCCCATTAGGATATAACGACTAGTTAGCGCTTCCTCTTTTTCAGTGGTTTTTTGCTTAAAATAAAAGTTATAATGTGTACCTAATGTCCAATACGAAATA